GCTGTCTGACTGTCTTTGTATGTGTGGGTGTTTGCCTCGGTGTCTGTGACTGTCTGCCTGTGTGTGTGTGTGCGTGTGGCTGTCTGCCTGGGTGTCAGTGACTGTCTGCTTCTGTGTGTGTGTGCGCACATCTGCTAGTGACGGAGCCTCTGTGTGTGTGTGTGTGTGTGTGCCTGCTAGTGAGTTTGTGTGTGTGTGTGTGTGCCTGCTAGTGAGTGAGCTTGTATGTGTGTCAGTGAGCTTGTCTGTAGGGATCATATGTGTGTGTGGGTTAGTGAGCTTGTCTGTAAGGAGCATGGGTGTGTCGGAGCCTGTCTGTGGTGAGCATGTGTGTACAGTGAGCTTGTCTGTAGTAAGCATGAGTGTGGTCGTGAGCTTGTCTGTAGTGACCATATGTGTGTCAGTGAGCTTGTCTGTAGTGAATCTGTTTGTTAGTGAGCTCTTCTGTAGGGAGCGTGTGTGTCAATGGGCTTTTCTGTAGGGAGAGTGTGTGCGCATCAGTGAGCTTGTCTGTAGTGAGCGTGTGTGTGTGACAGTGAGCTTGTCTATAGTAAGCTTGTGTGTGTGTGTATCAGAGTTTGTCTGTACTAAATTTGTGTGTGCGCCAGTAACCTTGTCTGTGTGTGTCATTGTCTGTCAATGAGCCTATTTGTGAGCATCAGTAAGATTGTCTGTCTGTGTGTGAGTATGCTTTACTGTATAATTTAATTACCCTAAAAGAACTAATATTTTGAATTAGAATAAGAAATGTATCAATAAAAAATAAATATATATATATATATATATATATACTGTTGCATCACCAGGGCTCCAGTATATATATAGGCAATTGAAATAGTTGGCTGCACTCTCGGATTTCCTTAAAATTTTACTTTTATTGAAATATTTAAGAGAAGATCAACGTTTCAGTCCCTCTTGTGGACTTGCATCAGGATCATGACGAAAGTCCACAAGAGGGACTGAAACATTGATCTTCTCTTAAATATTTCAATAAAAGTTACATTTTCAGGAAATCCGAGAGTGCAGCCAACTATTTAAATTGCCTATATATATATATATATATATATATATATATATATATATATATATATATATATATATATATATATATATATATATATATATATATATATATAACACCCTACATAGCACAATGACTTATGGAGCTGGCATAGATTTTTTTCCAGGGCTGCTTCGTATCCCCAGTCCGGCCCTGCTTAAGGCTCTTAGGTGCGGTAGTTTTCCGGACGTATGGGACAAGTACTCCTCATGTCTTTTTTACCACAATATATACATAGACCCTCCCTTCTCCTATGTTGTCTTTCTGCCTCGGACAGTCTAGTGACCCCCAACTGCATAGGTTCGGGTTCGGACTGTATAGAGAGGTCAGGAACAACTGGTCTGGAGAAATGAGGTGCTAATGGCAAAGCCATACATCTGGTTTTATTTCTGGCTCTGAGTCTATTATCAATTAGCATAATAAACGTAATAAACTCATTGAGTTTTTTGGGTAGTTTATTGCCCCTGTCCTTTTGAAACTATTTTTAGAAACTTCTGTTGATAACCCATTTCCTAATGAAATGCTGTTGGCATCAATTATTCCTATACTAAAAATAGGTAATAAGATCCGTCACTTATTACTAACTATAGACCTATATCCCTCATTAATATAGACATTACATTTTTTTTTCAAATTATGTCCACGTTTTAAGGAGGTCATTACTGATTTAATTAATATTGATCAATCAGAAAAAAATAATAGAAAAAGAAAAAAGAAACAACAAAAGAGGAGAGAGAGCACTTGTTATTAATATAACACTAATCTTAGACATAATCTAGATATATAGAAAAAAGTGGGTTGAATAATTTGGTTAATTGACGGAGTAAACGAAGATGTTTTGTTGACATATGATATTTTGTGTATAAATTAACCCCTTAAGGACGGAGCCAAATGTACACGTTGTGAACGAAACAAAATGTAAACAAAACCTGGCATTTGCGCTACATGTCTGTCCAACCGTAATTCACCTCTTTCATAGTAAATGCACCCACCCTTATAATATATCATTTTATTCAAGGGAAACACGGCTTTCATTTAATATCAATTATTTAGCTATGAAACATAATTTAATATGAAAAAAATGGGAGAAAATAAGATTTTTTTTATTTATTTTTTTCTACATGACATTTTAACGTTCAATGTCATAATACTGTTTGCTTTTAATGCGATACAATACACATATTTGTATTCAGCAAAGTCTCACGTGTAAAACAGTAACTAGTATGTACAGGTTTTATAGCGTTTTGGGAAGTTACAGGGTCAAATATAGCACGTTACATTTGAAATTGAAATTCGCCAGATTGGTTACGTTGCCTTTGGGACTTTATAGTAGCCCAGGAATGAAATTTACACCCATAATGGCATACCATTTGCAATAGTAGACAACCCAAGGTATTGCAAATGGGGTATGTCCAGTCTTAGTAAGTTTGAAACACAAAACACCGGCCAATCTGCCGCGCTTCAGACTAAGTGGCTAATAAAAAACTGACATAACCTTTACCTGGTAACACCCGGTTGCTCATTATTGCAAAATGGTATGCCATCATAGGGGTAATTTTCATTCTTAAGGCTACCATAGTTCTCAAAGGTAAATGCACTCCAATCTGGCAAATTTTAATGTGAAAATGAAAACACAAGCCTTATATTTGACGCTGTAACTTTTGAAAACACCATAAAACCTGTACATGAGGGGTACTGTTGTACTCGGGAGACTTCGCTGAACACAAATATTTGTGTTTCAAAACAGTAAAAAGTATTGCAGCAATAATATCGTCCGTGTAAGTGCTGTTTGTGCATGAAAAATGCAAAATATGTCACTTTTACTGGCGATATCATCGTTGTCATACATTTTACTGTTTTGAAACACTAATATTTGTGTTCAACGAAGTCCCCCAAGTAGAACAGTACCCCCCATGTACAGGTTTTATGGTGTCTTGGAAAGTTATAGGGTTAAATATAGTGCTAGCAAATTAAATTCCCTTTACTTTCGGCATGGGTTGTCAGGCAGGTCCCGCTAATTCTAATTAATTAAGATACCCAATTATGTAAAAATATTACATAAATATATACGTAGAATTAATATATGTATATATATATATATATATGTATGTGAATATATATGTATATATATATATATATATATATATATATATAATTTTTTTAAAATAGTTTTATATATATATATAGGTATAAATATAGTGATATATACGTATATATTTATGCATATAGATATATATATTATTTTGTTCTACGTGTATTTTGATATAAATATATATATTAATATCACAATACAGTTAGAACGGAATAACACACATCTATATATTTTTTTATTATTTTATAATTATTTTTTTTATTTTATTTTTTTACATATTTACATATTTAATTTTTTTATATTATATATAAATATATATATATATAACAATAATTATATATATATATATATTTAATCAATATCAGTCTACGTGTAATTTGATATTAATATATATATATAATTATATATATATTAATAGTAAAATACACCTAGACAGTGTACGTGTGTGTATGTATATGTGTATATATATATATGATCTAAGTATATATTTTTTTTTTTACACTTATTAACTTAATACAGCAGCCAGCTATCCCGGCCATGTGATTGTGAGGTCCTCGCAAGGACCTCACTCTCACATGGCCGGGGGGGGGGCCGGAGGAGGAGGATATGCCGCGGGGGGGCTCCCTGGGAGCGGGTAAGCCTGTGAGTGTGTGACTGGGTAAGTAAGGAAAGATTGGAGGGCGTACTATTACGCCCGGCGGCGTTTAGAGCCGCCTAAAATAGGGCGTAATAGTACGCCCTCCGGTCTTAAGGGGTTAATATATTTTTGTTGATATTATACTTTTGAAAAGGTATTTCTACGCTAAAATTAACAACTATAATATGATATAAACCCTGCCTTAATGTAAAATGTCTGTGAAATATCTTGTCTATATGTTTATTCTTCAAATAAATGAGAAAAATATTTAAAAAAATATATCAGGCATTCCCAGAACTCCATGTTTTATATTAAGAGTCAACGATCTACAATTTATACAAGATTTTTTTCTCTTTCCAAATTAATTTTAGAAAGGTAGAATGTATTATTTTTAGCCAGTTGTCTGGGCATCTAATCGGGATCATTCTAAAGATGTATGTCCACTTAGGCAAAACATAAGCCACCAGGAGAAATTGAATTTTCTCCACTTAATCAAATTTAAATTTGTTTGTTTTAACAAAGGTAGGAAATTGCTTTCTATTAGATTACTCGTGAATGGAGTTATGTTAATACCAAGGTATTTAATAGACTCTTCAGCCCATATTAATCCATTTTTTTTTTTTTTCTATTATATTTCTTTTGCAATTTTTTACAAAGAAAGTAGATTTTTCCATATAAATTTATAGCCAGAGAACATAGAATATTTACCTAGTTCTTCAATCAAAGCATCAACCAAGATATTGCTTTATTTTATTGCTGCAATTCCTGTTTCTGGCCTCCCTAGCCACTAGTCAATCCTCAGTTGTTCTCACCTGCCTCATATGATCTTCCAAGTCTGCTATAAAAGGCCACACCCAACTCTTCGCATGACCTTTACATTGAAGTCAGTGTTCTGAAATCCTGTATCCTATGAAGTCAGTGTTCTGACATGGAAATCCTGATCCTGTATCCTGGCTCCTGAAAACATCCTGATCCTCTATGGAGACCCCTTGTGTCTCGTCGCCAGAATCCTCCTGAAACTCTTATCTTCAACTACTGAAAATCTGCAAGATCCTGTAAGCAACCTGTGATGGTAGTAGTCAATATCACCATCTTGTTTTCCTTTTGCCAATAGCAGAGTAATCCCAATAATCCACGAGAAGAAATATCGCTGTAATCGCCAAATAATCCACACATGAGCCAAGGCTTCATGCTGGAACAAGTCTGATTTACTGGCACACAGAACTCACAATTTATGCAACACAAAACTCCTCCTCTGGGCCAGGCTAGATAATTGAGTTTCTACAATACACAAAGCTCAATTATCTGCTGGCCAGAAACATTACAGTTTTCAACAATTTCAGAAAAGTACTTTTTATATTACATACAAACATAATTTTAATATCCCTGGGTAGCTGCTGGTCTGGGGAGCAACATACTTAAATTTCACGAAAATCCGTTTGGTAGTTTTCGTGTTGCGTCGTGTGGAAGTTTGACCGGCTCCCTGCATGCTGGTATCCGATTTAGAGTTCCATGAAATTGGGACTAAGAGCCGGTCTCCGTTCGCATCAATTTACACGAAAACTACCAGGGTTAAGATACAGAGAGTTTGTGGAAAGTGTTCCCCTCATTCGGTAGATTGAATTTCCCGAACGCCGTTCGTGTCCAGTTCGTGGAAATAGGTCAGGCGGGACTTCCATTGGGGACCAGGTCATGCTGGAGGGCTATGCCGAAAATAGTTCCAAAAAAGTCCCGCTGACTGGCCATTCGGGAGTTTAAGATGGCCGCCATCCATTGTTCTTCGCCACGTGTTCGGCTCCCGAAATGGCGGCCAACCGGGAACTCTCAATTAACTTGCGGTTACACAAGATTCTATGTTCTAATTGCTACCCAGGGTGGTCCTTGTTCGGTAAAATAGTGATTTTACCGAACAAGGGATTTAAACGTACAGAAAATAACGAATGCACCAGTAATACAGGTAATAAATCTCACGAATACAACAGCAGGGAGGGAAATAAAAACGAATTGAGGGTGATTCTTCACACAACCTGTACTATATTATTCTGGAATCTACTTACCTGTCTCAACTGCTGCAATACTGCATGATCTTGTTGTAAGCAACCTCTATTTCATTATACTGGAATCTACTTACCTGTCTCAACTGCTGCAACTCTGCATAATCCTTTAAGCAACTTGTACTATATTACACAGAAAGTACTTACCAGCTTTAACCATTTCAACCCTGTATCATCCTGAACCTGGCTGCGGTGTGACATTCCACAAACTATTAATCTACTTGGAAATAACTTCAAACCTACTTGTATATAAAAGACTTTATTAATTTTCTTCTAGATATCCTGTTTGGGGCATATTGCCTTTATTCTGTTTTTACTCTCAAAGTACCCTGTTTGTGGCATATTGCCTTTATTCTGTTTTAACTATTAAAGTATCCTTTTTGTGGCATATTGCCTTAATCCTTTCCTTCAAGTAAATTGTTATGTCAAAAAAGACAAATAAAGTTTCAACCACATAACCCTGGCAATTGTCTCCTCTCTGAACCTGCCCAGGAACATGACGCATCTAATTAACTTATTGGGTCTTTCAGTGTCAACCGAATATTGTCCGCATAAAGATTTAACTTACTAGTACTGTTAGGCATTTAGAAAACCCTTTATTTTTAGATTTTTCCTTATTTTAATTGCCAAGGGTTCCAGTGCTAGTATGAACAGGAGGGGACAACCCTGTCTGGTACCATTATTTATCATAAAACTCTATGAAATGAAATTTTGAGCCTTTAATTTTGCTTTTGGTTGTTTATAGAAGGTTTTAATCGTGCCTATCGTTCCCATCCAAAAGCCATATTTTTCCAAGCATTCGAACATAAATTCTCAATTCATCCTGTCAAAAGCCTTTTCGGCATCAATTGACAGGATGATTAATGGGACCTTCAACTTATCATACCCATCTAAGATGTCTATCATTCTCCTTAGATGAATAATTGGAGATCCATCAGGAACAAAGCCTACTTGATCTTTTTCTACCAATGATTTTACTACTGTTTTTATTCTTTCTGCTAGTATTGAGGTGAAACCTCTGTCTAGTACGTTCTGGCACACAGGAATTACTCAAACATTTTTTATCACACAAGGTTATGAATTTGGATTGTTAATTGACTATCTTGTTTTCTGTGCTCCCAACCGTTTAACTTGTGAAAAATATTTATCCTGTTTTCTCCTTCCTCCGACCATGACTCCTTCTCTGGCTAGTCTTACAATTAAGTTTGGCCACTCTAAGTACCGACAATACAGACTCTCTGTGCTGTGTGTTTCTACTACTTTTGCAGTTTGCATAGTAGGGTCCTCACCTACCGTGACAAAACACCTTAAAGAAACATATACAAACTGCAATGTTGAAAAGTCTGCATAGTTGCCATTTAAAAAAAAAAAAAAAATTATTGCCATTTACCTTGCAATAACAACCTATCAAGCTTGATAGCACTAGATTAACAATGAAAGGATGGATACGCTCCGTTAGAAGAGGCTCTGCCAAAGGGAGAGGGAGAAGCACATGTTTGAATTCAGAAAAACATTCTTTATAGTTTATAGTTTGTTTGTTTTTTACATTATTATAAATCTATCATATTTGAAGGGACATGCATCACTTGATTTTATTTTTAAAATAAGCAAGAAAACATTTTTACACAAATATACAAACTAAAATAAAGCAAAAAAAGTTTTCACAGTATGTAATAAATGTTTGCAAACTTACTAAACTGCCTCTGAGTTAGGGGAGTTTCTACAGCGCTCCCTCTCCCTCTATGTTACATAGTTACTTAGCGGAAAAAAGAGACTTGCGTCCATCAAGTTCAGCCTTCCTCACATTTGTTTTTTGCTGTTGATCCAAAAGAAGGCAAAAAAAAAAACAGTTTGAAGCACAAGCTAGGAAAAAAATTCCTTCTTGATCCCAGAATGGCAGTCAGATTTATCCTTGGATCAAGCAGTGATTACCCTACATTGAAAGATTATATCCTTGAATATTCTGTTTTTGCAAGTATGCATCTAGTAGCTGTTTGAACATCTGAATGGACTCTGATAAAACCACTTCTTCAGGCAGAGAATTCCACATCCTGATTGTTCTTACAGTAAAAAAAAAACTTTCCTTTGCCTTAGACAAAATCTTATTTTTTCCAGTCTAAACGCATGACCTCGTGTCCTATGTAAAGTCCGGTTTGTGAATAGATTTCCACACAATGGTTTGTATTGGCCCCAAATATATTTGTATAATGTTATCATATCCCCTCTGTTCTGGGTGTGCCCCCAATCCCTTTATATTTTACTATGTAAATTTGGAATCCAGACCACATTCCCTTTGGTGTTAAGCACACTACCCAACCCTTCAGTTTCCTTTTGGAAACGACCACAGGTATATATTTGAGGAGACTTAAACAAAAAACCTTCTTTGCAGAGGTGACGGGTCAAACTATTCAGTGCCTAAAATACAAAGCAGCTCAAACACATAAAATGGAATACCCTTATATCCACAATAAATTAACAATATATAGAAATGTAGTATAAAATACACCACCTAGTGGAGTGCTAATACAAATAGAAGTGATAAAGGGGTGCACTTACCCCAACAATTTTGTGTTGTCTTAAATTCAGGAATATGCTATTAAACATACAATGAAGAGAACAAAGAGATAAAAAAACATATAATGTAGATGGTTTTGGTGAAAATGAGTGATGAAAGTAAAAAGCTGAAACCACTCACATGGTCTGGAGCGTATATAATATTGACTCCGTATGTAAGCCTATGTTATCTTTGGGCAGCAACACACCCCTTCCTCTGAGATGTACCTCCACAACGACAAGGAAACAAAAGGAGAAAGGGACCCAATGGGTGGTACATGTGCAAACAGGCAGATAATATATAGGTGGTAAATGTTATGCTCACCTAGTTGAGAGCATTAAAATCCTGGCTCTGAGGGTGGTTAGCGATGTGCCAGTATGAAGGGATGACCCTTCCCGTAAAGATTCCCAGAGGCTCCAAGGACTTCAATGGATAAACATTTTTATTGATTCCAAATAAAAAGTAAATATAAAACCAGAAATTTGGAGTATAAAAATTGTAAATAAGGGGGCGGAGGCTAGCAGCCAGACCGAGCGGTTGTGCTGAACCTCAGCTCCCGCTCTAATCCGCACTTTCTGGGGGGAATTCCCCTAAAAAACAGCACAATCGCATACTAAAGGGCAGATATCATGTCGGGGACACCCGGGGGAATCTCCCGACACCAAAACCAAGCCTGTAACCCTCCGGGTACCCGACAAAATACCCTGAGGCCTGCCGGAGATTGAGCAGCGGGGAGACGGCCGCTCTAAACAACAGGAGGAGCAGTCACAGGCTGAACCCACAGTTGGACTCACCGCAGCACATGGGCAGCCGAGCACATGGCGCATCCAAAATGGCGGCAGCAAGCACACCACACGAGCCGAACTGCATTCCTGAAACGGAGACCCACACCGATGTTATGCGGCGTCTAGAAGCTGCTTTTGACCGCTTCTGGCACAACCTAAACGAACGGCTGCAAGCACCCCAAGCAACCCTGCAAACCTTACCAAGAACGAGTAAGCTGAATCGTCCCCGTGGAGAAAGAAGACAGGTACCATCGCACAGGCAGGCAGCGCGCAAGACTGGAGTTGTGAGTGGGGGGAAGAGATCCTCCACTCCAGGCAAAGTAACTGCCCCCAAGCTACTAATCCGACATCTGCTGCGGAGGCTGGGGACCCACCGCAGCCACAAGCGACAAAACAGAGGGAGCACCAACCATCCCTTACCCCAGAGGGACTTAGCCAGGAAAAACAGGGCCCGAGTCTGTAGCGTCACAATGATGATCTTCGCTACGACCCAGGGCTGGAGGGCCCCCATGCCCAGCCCCTACCTGGCACAACCCATGGACAGCCAGTATTCCCCCCATGTCGGGGTATCGGCTGAAGATGGACTCTCTGAACAAGCCATCCTTATTCCAACACCAACATGCTTGAGAATAAGGCGCAAAGTATTGTATGCTTCCTTTTGATGTCTTATTTTATTTTATTTTACCTTTTTCTAAGACCTCTCATATAATCATACCAATTCTAATAACGATGCCGTTAGGAATCCTGAGTTACCACACAAACTGTAGCTTTGATTGAGAGAGGAAAACATGGGGGGCTCGTTACACTAGTCATTTAGTTTTGCTGACTATTCACCTGTCTGCCTAACCCACGCAATTTACACTTCATAGGCCTGCTGTACCCTGTGATTGCTCAGCCAGTCCTGTTTTTCACCCAGGCTAGTATACCCAAGCCTCTAATACGCAGCGGTAGTACACAGCAGTACACAGTAACAAACATACCTCACCCACACACTAACTATACTGCAGTAACTGTTAATCAATGTTTAATCAATGTTATAAATGCTAGAACCGCTATATGTACACAGTTTTGAACAAGGCGACCCCAATATGACCCATTACTGCAGACATACTAAGCTAGCCTGTATTAAAGGACCACTATAGTGCCAGGAAAACATACTCGTTTTCCTGGCACTATAGTGCCCTGAGGGTGCCCCCACCCTCAGGGTCCCCCTCACGCCGGGCTCTGGAGAGAGGAAGGGGTTAAAATCTTACCTTTCTCTAGTGCCGGACGGCACTAGAGAAGCACGCAAGCGCCTCTAGCAACTGTCAATGAGACAGCCACTAGAGGCTCTAGAGGCTAGATTAACCCTCAGTGTAAACATATCAGTTTCTCTGAAACTGCTATGTTTATTAAAAAAAGGGTTAACCCTAGCTGGACCAGGCACCCAGACCACTTCATTAAGCTGAAGTGGTCTGGGTGCCTATAGTGGTCCTTTAAGCATTTTCAATGTTTCAGTGTTTTACAACCAACCAATTCGCCACATAATCTTTATATCAAACAAAAATGTGCAATGTTATTTCTCTAAGCCCTACAAGTGTTATGATGATGTATATATTTACTGACTTGCACCAGATGTTAGGGCAGTGCAACCTGGTTGTACTCTTTATGCACAAATAAAATAAAGAATTTAAAAAAAAAAGTCCAAATCAGCCGATCCAAGTAAAAGTCCAAATCAGGTGATTTGGACTTTTATTTGGACTTTTATTTACAATTTTTATACTCCAAATTTCTGGTTTTATATTTACTTTTTATTTGGAATCAATACATTTTTTTTATCCATTGAAGTCCTTGGAGCCTCTGGGAATCTTTACAGGGAAGTGCCATCCCTTCATACTGGCACATCGCTGACCACCCTCAGAGCCAAGATTTTAAGGCTCTCAACTAGGTGAGCATAACATTTACCACCTATATATTATCTGCCTGTTTGCACATATACCACCCATTGGGTCCTTTTCTCCTTTTGTTCCCTTGTCGTTGTGGAGGTACATCTCAGAGGAAGAGGTGTGTTGTTGCCCAAAGATAACATAGGCTTACGTACAGAGCCAATATTGTATATGCTCCAGTCCATGTGAGTGGTTTCAGTTTTTTACTTTCATCACTCATTTTCACCAAAACCATCTACACTATGTTTTTTATCTCTTTGTTCCCTTTATTGTATGTTTAAAAGCATATTCCTGAATTTAAGACAACACAAAATTGTTGGGGTAAGTGAACCCCTTTAACACTTATATTTGTATTAGCGCTCCACTAGGTGGTGTATTTTACACTACATTTCTATATATATTTGAGGAGGTTTTGGATAGTAATGTCCCTTCAATGATAAGCTTCATTGAGCTGATATATAATTTGCATTGTGAGTATATACATAAAAGCACTATCACTTTGATAGTTTAGTTTTGACACTGACTTTTTAAAAGAGTTCAGGTCAAGAGCACGGATGCCAGTCAGGTGTAACCACCTAATAAAGAGCTCATAGAATAAGGGGGTAACCCTTCAAATGTGCAAAGACAGAGAGGAAGCAATGTATAGTGTCCCGCAAGGGGAGACTATAAGCAAAGGAGCTCCACTAGTATAAAAGAAAGGGGGACCCTACCTTTAATAAATCTAAGTGAAAAAGGGGATATGCAAACAGAAAAGATATAACTAAAAAGAGGGAGATCTACTAAATGGTACTTAGGAGATCTATCAACTGGAGCACAAATAGAATGAAAGCTCCAGTACACCCCTAGTATCCGACAGGTAGAAATGTAGTATAGGTGAGGTGAGGGAGAGCGAGAAACCATGAGGTCCACAGGGGACAAATGGTCAGAGAACTTGTCCGGACACAATACAAAACCTCAAAAAAACATATAGCTCTCCCTAAGGGTTACCTCGACACCGTGGTCTAGCCACTAGTGTCTACCTAAACCAACTCTCCATGCAACAGCTATAAATAAAGGAAACACCTAATAAACAAAACATAGTGGTAACTAACTAAAAAAGTGCTACCAAGTGCAGTGAAAAAAGGAAAAGCTTGACACGTGTTTCGGCGTATTAGAACTCTGTTGTTAGGAGCCTGTGAATATGAACGGCTTGTTAGTCCATTTAAATACCTATTGCTAATGGGACATGACCATCATCTGTTCAACGTGGGAGGTCCCAAAAGATGGGGTATCTAAGCCTTATTCTACCTCCAGACTGCTCATTTGTATGTTCCCATGTCTATATCTTTTGAAGGCAGTGGGACTCAGCATCAAGGGCAGGCCGTCCCTAATATCTCTGATAGATCCACGGCTATCAGTGACGTGCGGTGCCATCCAACACTCCACGTCCCTAGTCGAGATAAAACACACATCCCGTCGGAGCCTGGACCGCCCCTAAGACTGTCTAATAGGTTGGAAAATGTAAGGGTGTGGAGTATACTACCTGATGTGAGTGACCATAGCTACAGACAGTAGGGACATATCGGTGCATAGCCACGCTTTCTCTCACTGGTTGGTCCCTATAATTCACAATGGTCTTACAGATTATTTAAACACACAACTACTTATTTAGCACTAGCACTGTTTAATTTGTCTTCCACATTGGAATTAGTGTAGAACCCACTGATATTGGGATACTGAGAAGTAGTGGTGGGCTTAACAAAATATGGCCATATGGTGCGAATGCATATGTGCTGTGTATCTCTATGTCTGTAACCATGTATAGGGTTGCTGTTTGCAGGGTGTTGTTTGGGGGGCTGCTTGTGGTCTTAATATGTGAGTTGTGTTTGTGGCAAGTCTGTATTGTCTGGAACAAGGTGACTGAGTGTGTCAGGATAAGTGTCAGACTAGAGATACTTCTTCCTTAAGCATCCAACAAACACACCCAAAAAAGTGAAGAACACTGACTTCCACCAATAAAGAACATGTTAAAAAATATTTACATGACAGAATTACATTGGCAGTGTGCAGATTTACTAAAGCCAAATGCAGTCAGGATTTGATCAGTCCGATCGATTTTGTAATATTTGTTCAGATGCATTCGCAAAATCATTAAAGGAGCACTCTAGTGCCAGGAAAACAAACTTGTTTTCCTGGCACTATGTAGTCCTTAGGTGTGCCCCACCCTCATGGCCCTCATTCCCTTTGGGCTGAATGAAGGGGTTAAAACCCCTTGAGTCACTTACCTTTCTCCAGCGCCGGGCTCCCTCGGCGCTGGGGAACTCTCCTCCCCCTGCCGACGTCAACGCCGAATGCGCGTGCGTGGCAAGAGCCGGGCGCACATTGAAACCGCACATAGGAAAGCATTACACAATGCTTTCCTATGGACATTAGCGTCTTCTCACTGTGATTTTCACAGTGAGAATCGTGGAAGCGGCCTCTAGTGGCTGTCTGTGAGATAGTCACTAGAGGCTGGATGAACCCTGACTGTGTGTGTGTGTGTGTGTACGGGAGGCAGTGCATGTAGGACAGTGTGTGGATGGGGGTGCACTGGGAGCACTGTGTGTAGGAGGTAGTGTGTGTTTGTATGAGGGGTGTAGTGTGTGCATGGGAGTGCAGTGTGTATATGTGGGGTGCTGTGGGAGCACTGTGTGTGTATGGGGCCAGTGTGTGTATGAGGGTGTAGTGGGGGCAGTGTGTGTACGGGAGTGCAGTTGGGGAAGTGTGTGTATGAGGGTGCAGTGTTTGTGTGGGGGAGCACTGTGTGTATGGGGGTGCAGTGTGTGTTGGGGGGAGATGTGTGTGGGGTGCAGTGTTTGTGTGGGGGAGCACTATGTGTATGGGGGTGTAGTGTGTGTGGGGGGAGAAGTGTGTGGGTGCAGTGTTTGTATGGAGGAGCACTGTGTGTATGGGAAGAAGTGTGTGTGGAGGGGAGATGTTTGTGGAGGTGCAGTGTTTGTATGGGGAGCACTGTGTATATGGGGGAGAAGTGTGTGTGTGCAGGGTGCAGTGTGTGCAGGGTGCGGTGCAGTGTGTATGGAGGAGAAGTGTGTGTGTGGGAGGGGTGCAGTGTGTGTGGGGTGCAGTGTGTATGGAGGAGAAGTGTGTGTATGGGGGACTATGGGGGAAGTGTGTGTATGGAGAAGAAGTGTGTGTGTGTATGGGGGACTGTGGGGCAGTGTGTGTGTAGTTGAAGGAGGGGGCAGAGCAAAACAAATGTATTTGCTTTTAACCCCTTAAGGACACATGCCATGTGTGACATGTCATGATTCCCTTTTATTCCAGAAGTTTGGTCCTTAAGGGGTTAAATAAAAAATATATTATATATATCCCCCCTTCCTTCTTACCTTTGCCTGGAAGGAGGGATATTATTTCCAATCCCTGGTGGACCGGTGGAATCCCCGGTGGTTCTAGTGGGGAGTGAACTCTAGCCTGTAGCTCCTGAGGCTAGAACTCACTCTCGCGAGAACGAAGCGTTGCCATGGTAACTGCGGCAATGCTCCGTGCTAGCGAGAGGAGAATCGGCAGAGCTGCAAGCTCGAGCTCCCAGGTCTCCTCTCCCTCCTGTGCCGGCTGCCCAGCAATGTGCCTTCGGACCTGTGAGGGAGATCTTTGATCTCCTCTCCGGTCCGTGAAGGCACTTAGCAGGGCCGGTGCTTGTATAGCACCGGCCCTGCAGGAGAGAGCATAAGCTCTCGAAGGGGGGGGGGGCAGTGGCC